AGCTGTGATGCCACCACTTTCTCAACCACCTTCCCCAAAAAGGGAAGGTGGGAGACTGGACGAAAATTGTCCAGTATGGTAGGATTCAGGGAGGGTTTCTTGAGGAGTGGGTGCACCAATGCCTCCTTAAAAGCAGTTGGAAACACTCCCTCCTTCAAGGATGTAGTAACCATCGCCTGGGTCCAACCATGTGTCACCTCCCGAGCTACTTTCACCAGCCAGGAGGGGCATGGGTCAAGACGGCAAGTGGTGGCCTTCACAGTCCCTAGGATCCCGTCCACTTCCTCAGGAACAACAGGATCAAACTGTTCCCAGATAACTGGGTAAGAACGGTCCCCCGGTATCTCCCCAGACCCTGCCCCATGCTCGGAGTCTAACTTGGAACGAATCCGAGTGACTTTGTCTTACAGATGCTCCGAAAATTCCTCCGCATGACCCTGCAAATGAACCCCCACATCCCCCTTACCAAGGAGGGACCTAGTGATCCTAACAGGGCCTCCCGGCGGCATTCTGCGGATGCAATAAGGGCGGAGAAGTAATGGTGCTTCGCCACTCTTATTGCCACAAGGTAGGCCTTGATAGCGGCTCTAACCTGTGTTCGGTTGGATTCGGTCTTTGTTTTCCTCCAGCGGTGCTCTAGACATCTCTTAACCCTCTTTAGCACCCAACTCCTCCGTAAACCATGGGGAGTGTCGGGGCCGATGTGGCAAGAGAGGTCGCATAGGCGTGATCCTGTCCAAGGCCCCGGCTGCCTCCCTATTCCAGGCAGCAGCCAAGGCCTCTGCTGGACTGTGCAGCAGATCCATGGGAAAATCCCCCAGCTCCCTCTGAAACACTGATGGGTCCATCGGGTGCTGGGGGTGGACTAGTCGCCTGGGTCCTGCCTCCCTTTAAAATATCTTTTTAAAAGATATTTCTAAATATGCCATCATGGTTCAAGAAATCTGGTCAACTAATGAGATAGTGCTCAAGGATTTTAGCTCATATTCATTAGGATCAATAGCTAATGTGGGAAAGGGTAGACTAAAGGAAGATTTAAGGTATTAGCTTCCACTATGAGTAGTAAAATAAGTAGAGAGACAGTCAATTAAATAAAACACAATCCATTTTAGGCACAGTATTAGTAGATATTAGTAAGTAATACCTATCTACGCCCATTGAGGCAATATTCACAGATCAGGAAACAGGTCTCCATTGATCTATCAACTATGTACCTACCTACCTACCTACCTACCTACCTACCTACCTACCTACCTACCTACTCTGTGTGTGTGTGTGTGTGTATTCATATTCTGCTTTTCTAGATGTATAGGTAGTGGTCACACATGATTTTAATGTTAGATTAGGCCCAGATGTCATCCTTTTATAGGCTGGATACAAGGGCTGCCCATCCAACATTGAAACAGAGCCTCTTTTCTTGATCCAGTATGAAGGATAGTAAGTTAAACTGCTTAGGATTTTATCTGGCTTGGATGACCAACACCCTTTAGCTAAGTATTTTGAATGGCTCCATTGAAAACAAGGGCTGCCCATGGAATTTAATTAATGCTGCCTCTCATCCTAAAAACAACCCATTCTATATGGATAACACTATTCCACATGAGGCTTGGAAAAGGTATTTTAGAGAACTGTATAAAGATGAATTTGTGAATAAAAAAGCCATTGGTATTCTATAGAAAACATTCTGCTTTAGTTGCTGATTAAGAATTGCTGAAGTTAAGAACATGCAGTTGTAATTGCCAACTTAAGACCAGATAAGGCTCCAGGCAATGATCTAATATCTGAGATATTAAAGAATAATTTGGCTTGGTGGGCCTCTCTTTTGGCTTTGCTCTTTGTGTTTATAGATAAACATAGAGACTGAGGGCTTGCAATTAGAGTACCCAGCTTTTAAAAAGGGAAAAGAGATGACCCAAGAAATTACAGACCATTAGGTTGCTTGACACACTGAACAAACTTAACACCAGACGTATATGTTACAAACTGAGGGATTGCTCCTCCACCTGGTGGAAGAAGCAACTGGCTTCAGGGAGGGACAGTCACCTGTTCACCAATGCCTACAGCTCTAACATTTTTTAAAAAATGCTGTGCTTTTTCCATGTTTTTATGTATATCCTTTATTGATTTCAAATTGTCATTTGGATCTGTTTAGCATTTTACATGTCTTATTTCAGTGTATTCCTTTGTATATTTCCTGATATTAAAAGGATTTCACAGGATTCCACCTTTTCTTAAAATCATCAGGTTGTTAGAGTAACTTTGTTTTAAGCATGAACCTTATGAAACAAGGAGAACAGTGAAAGAGGATATTTGCTAATTTTATAGGAGTTTG